AAAAAGGCAGTGCAGTGCGCCTCATGTTTTCAAAACTGAAAAACGTGTTCTGTCTGATCGGGGCCTAAAACTGTTATATCCATCAGCATGCTAAAACTATTCAGAGAGTTGTCATGATTAAACTGGTGTTACTACATGTCTAAGGCTTGATTAGCACATTAAATATATTGTGTTTGAAGTTCACTGCAGCAAGAGCACCAGAGACTGATGCAAATATGACTAAAGTCTCTTCTACTGATTCATTTTTAATTAGTTAAATATTAAAACTTGAAAACATGCCCCTTGTGTTACCAGCCAAAAAACAAAGATGAAAAGTTGACTGTGGGTGAATGTGTGTGGGGGTCAGAGTTTGCCCTCTGTTGTGGGGTTTAGAGCTTAGAGTATAGCAAATATAATTGCATTAGCATACTACAAAAACAGCAGACAAGATAAGGCAGATCAGACAATCCCAAAATTCACTGCGACAAGCTGAAATAAAAATAAATCCAAGATGGTGAACAAAGCATATAATTACAGATTACAAATTGATTTTAAATGCTTATACAAATTCCATTTAAAAAAATCTCACTGTAGTCTGAGGACCTATCAGCTATGACTTTTGCCTCAATAAACTCCTAATTTGCTGCTTATTAATATCTAATAAGGTAGTTGTTAAGTTTAGGTATGGGGTGGATTAAGGGATCTAAATTATGGTCATGCAGAATAAGACATTAATATGTGGTTTATAAGTACTAATAAACAGCCAATAAGCCAGTAACATTCATGCTAATAAGCAGCTAGTTAATAGTGAGAATTGGACCCTAAACTAAAGTGTTATCAAAAGCCTTTCATTTAAAAAAAGTTATTTTAAGGTGTGATTATTACAGTATAAAAATAAGTACTGAGTAATTTTAATTAACAACATGAACTAACTATTGGTTCAAGTTTAGGAATAGGGTTTGGTTTAGGGTTAGTTGCTTGTAACTGCATTTTTTGGTCCCCATGAGGAAAACAACTTACAAATCATACAGAATGAAGTTTTTTGAAAATCTAAAAATGCAGAAAGTTTTGTGTGAGAGGTTGGTTTAGGATTAGGGGACAGAAAATACAGTCTGTACAGTATAAAAACCATCATGTCTATGAAATGTCCCCATATAATATGGAAACTAGGGATGCATCGATCCGATATTCAGTATTTTATTCTGAATACTCAGAGTTTTCGGTATAGGATCGGTTCTGAAAAAATGGTATCGTTGCATCCCTAATGGAAACCAGTGTGAGTGTTTGAATGCGCGCATGTTTGCGGCATTTTGGGGGACAAAACTGTCCTTAAAAGTGTCAACACCTCTCTTCAGAGATGTCCTTAATCACTAAATTGATTCTTAAATATAAAATACTGTTGTTGTTTAGAAGCCTAAAGTGTGACCTCGTTTAGGGGTTAATTTAGTCTACAATAATTATAATCAGCTTTAAACAATAGTCACTGGGATGTCCTGAGGAACACAGTGAAACAAAGCCGTTTGAGTGAGTGTTGGTGTGTGTTTGTATGTGACTGACTGAGTGTGAGTGAGTGAGTGAGTGAGTGAGTGAGTGAGTAGGCACATGTGTGTGTGATAGAGGAACAGCTGCCAGGCTTTTACAATAGTTCTGTGGAATATGGCTAATTTGGTATTCATGAAATCAGGCTCTGGACTTGAGATGCTGTCCCCAGGCTGTCATGCCTGTTTCTGTCAGAAAAATATCCATCAACAGTACACAGTCTAGCTACTGAGACAGTCTCTCTCACACGAACACACACACACTGCACACACAAACATCTCATGTCTCTGAATTGTTTACAGAGAAAACGATTCACATCATCAAGCGCAGAGAGATGAAGGAGTACTCGGTTTTTGTCAAAGGCCAAACTTGAGGGCCAGTTTTGCCCAGAGGTGTTTTAAGTGGCTATACTCTAACTCAAAGATCATTATATTTGCATTTTATGAATCCAAAAAAGTTTACTGCAGTTTTGCTAAACATAAATTCTCAACTGAGAAGTTCACAGAAGTTCACTGAAGTCTGAATTAATTATGATTTCCAGTCTAAATCTGTGTGTTTAAATTCTAAAAGGTATAGTTCACCCAAAAATGAAAATCCAGCCATCATTTCATGTCATTTCAAATTCATAACTTTCCTTCGAACACAGAACACAAAATTTTGAAGAATGTACTTTTTGTTCTTTTTCCAAGCAGTGAATTAGTACTGGAGCTTTTAATATTCAAAAGGCCCCTGTTGAAAAAACCAGCATATGCTGGTTAGGTATGTTTTGACGCTGGGATGCTGGTTTAAGCTGGTCCTTTGCTGGTTTATGCTGGTCCTTGGCTGGTTTAAACTGGTCCTTTGCTGGTTTAAACTGGTCCTTTGCTGGTTTAAGCTGGTCCTTTGCTGGTTTATGCTGGTCCTTGGCTGGTTTAAACTGGTCCTTTGCTGGTTTAAACTGGTCCTTTGCTGGTTTAAGCTGGTCCTTTGCTGGTTTATGCTGGTCCTTGGCTGGTTTAAACTGGTCCTTTGCTGGTTTAAACTGGTCCTTTGCTGGTTTAAGCTGGTCCTTTGCTGGTTTATGCTGGTCCTTGGCTGGTTTAAACTGGTCCTTTGCTGGTTTAAACTGGTCCTTTGCTGGTTTAAGCTGGTCCTTTGCTGGTTTATGCTGGTCCTTGGCTGGTTTAAACTGGTCCTTTGCTGGTTTAAACTGGTCCTTTGCTGGTTTAAGCTGGTCCTTTGCTGGTTTATGCTCAGCAAAGGACCAGCATAAACCAGCAAAGGACCAGCTTAAACCAGCATCCCAGCGCCCCTGTTGAAAAAACCAGCATATGCTGTTTTTTTCAACAGGGGCATGCAAAAGAACCATAAAAATTTCATAAATAAGTAGTAACTCTAACCCTATATGTATATATATCTCACTGGTAATCTTTCTCTCAAGTGAGCTGTTAACCAGTCAGTGGGTTCACTGTGAATGAACCTTTCACAGAATTAATCATTAAGATCAGTTCTGTAAACCAATCTGTAAACTAACCTTCTGTAATTGGAACTCTTTAAGGAATTAAGTCAATCAGGGTTGGTGAATGATGACAGGATTTTATCTATCTGTTTAATTGTTTATTATTAATTGAACTGCACAGTCTTCCTGTGGTAAGTGTCTGTTGTTGGGCCTGTGGCAACTTGCAAACTTGCTGAGCTTAATCTACTGTATATGGTGACAGCTCCAAAACGCATCGCAGTGTGTCACTTGGGTATGTCATTAATTTTGTATGGTAACAGGCAAATATATTTAGACTTACAAACAATAGTATAAGGGCACTGCACAACAAGCTTCCTAACTTCTGTTTGGACTGTTCAAAATGCATTAAAACCTGCTCTGAAGACTCCTGAAAATAACTATGTGTGATTCTGAGGTTGACAGAAACTATGAGTGGGACATGTCTGTTTTGCACCATATATGTCAATGCAACCCACATCATTGGAGATTTGCGAGATTTCATTTCTCAGTCACACAGAAACACACTCCAGCTGACTGTCAGGCTGCTGATGCTGCCTGGTGTGATATTTACATTAATTAATATTTACACCACACAAAAATCATATTTTTAAACAGTATTTTTGTCTTGTTTTCAAAGTAAAAACAAATCTAACCATCCTTAAATTTAGATACATTGTTTAAGAAACAAAATGGAATACGTTATTAAAATTGAATATTCACATTAACCGCAATAAATATTTCATCACTTAAACCACCTAAAAAAAACTTTATCATAGGTGGCCTTACCTACCATGTACTAACATCATACACCTACTACGGATTTACTGTGAAATTACACGTTGTTCTGGAAAATTACCACATTTACTGCAAATTTGTTATGGTTCGGATCATAGGGGTTAGAGTTAGGTTTGGGGGTAATGGTAAAAATTAGGATTAGGATTATAGGGGTTAAAATTCAGTTTGGGGATAAGGTTAGCATTAGGATTATAGGGAAGTTGTGGCCTAATTGTTAGAGAGTCGGATTCGTAACCCAAGGTTGTGGGTTCGAGTCTCGTACCGGCAGGGATTGTAGGTGGGGGGAGTGAATGTACAGTGCTCTCTTCCACCTTCAATACCACGACTGGTGCCCTTGAGCAAGGCACCGAACCCCCAACTGCTCCCTGGGCGCCGCAGCAAAAATGGCTGCCCACTGCTCCGGGTGTGTGTTCACGGTGTGTGTGTTCACTGCTGTGTGTGTGCACTTTGGATGGGATAAATGCAGAGCACTAATTCCGAGTATGGGTCTTTAGATTTAGGTTTTTGGTAAGGGTAGGGTCAGGATTATGATTACTGTATAAGGGATAGAGATTGGTTTGGGGGTAAGGGTAAGGTCAGGATTAAGATTATAGGGGTTAGAGGTCAGTTTTGGGGTAAGGGTAAAGTCAGGATTAGGATTATAGATGTTAGAGTTAGGTTTTGGGTTAGGGCTAGGGTTAGGATTATAGTGTTTAGAGTTAGGTTTGAGGTAAGTGTAAAGTTTACATTAGCATTATAGGGGTTAGATTTAGGTTTGGGGGAAATGTAGCTTTAGGATTTTAGTGGGTCAGAGTTCGGTTTTGGGGTAAGTGTAAGGTTCGGATTAGGATTATAAGGGTTAGATTTAGGTATTGAGTGAAGGGTAAATTTAGGGTTAGGATGTTCAAGGTTCAAGTTATGCTTTGGGGTAAGGCTAGGTAGGGTTAGGATTATAAGGATTAGGGTTTTTTAATTAAAAGATTTAGGTTTTGGGATAAGGGTCCAAAAATGTAATACACTGTACATTCCCTGAATAAAAGACTTAAATAATTTAACTTCTTCCTAAGTCAATTTTAAGGATGTCTAGACACGTTTAACTGAAAAATAAGACAAAAATACTGATTAAGAAAATTATTTTTTGCAATCGTTGTCTACATTTTTTGGACAACTAGATCAACTAGTTCAAATAGTCACACAAGCCCTAGTCTGGCATGTTTAGGTGTACACTCACCCTCTCCTCCTCCTCCCTCAGATCAGGCATGGTGCTGACGCACAGTGTAACTGCCGTAATGGCCACAAAGATCACCGAGAGGCAGGCGAAGATCTTCCCAGGAATCCCGGAGTGAGGGTTCTCCACCATGTCTCTGAGGCTGTGCATGCACCCAGCCAGACGCCCCTCCTCTGGGCTACCGACGCCCGGCGCCTCCTCACAGGACTGGGACGAGGTCAGCTCAGCCTCCTCCTCCTCCAGCCGGAGTCTCTCTCGCTGCTCCTCCTGCCGAAGACGGAGCTTTCTCAAGCAGCACCACTCCAGACTGGCCTCCTCCACACCCCAATACAACAGTTCCTCCTGAAAGGAGAGCGCGCACATCTCCCGCAGCAGACGAAGCTTCCCGGCCGCCAGGAACGTGACAATGGAGCGGAAGGCACTGGGGCTTCGGTCGAAGAAGAACTCGTTGCAGTGCGCGTCATAGTCGTCACACAAATCGAGGATTTCCTCGGCATTGCTGCAGCTGCGTAACTTCCCCAAACGCGTCAATGGGAACTCCTCAAGAGTGGACCATGGTATGCTATAACGGATGCCACCCACGTTGATGATGGCGGTGCGGTCGACTAAAGCACCCACGTCCGCTCCAGCTCCTCGATTCCGGAGCACCTCGTGCTCCTGTACGCCGGGCTTGCACTGCAATTGTGCGCGTTTGTAAAACACACCTTTTTTGCTGCTGATTTCACGCGGATTCTCCAAAGGGTTAAAGTGGAAGGTGGTAAACTGATGATCGGTGCTGCCTGCTAGGAAAGCCACCTCTTGGTACATCTCTGCTGTGCGTGGCTGTACACTCCACAGATTCACAGTCTACCAGCTCAAGGTGGTCATCATGGATGAGCTCTGAGAGATAAAAGAGGAAGATTTTAATGAAGATTTACTTTATAGTCCCAGCTCCAGGTTGCTAAGCCCAAGGGGCACAATGCAACAAAATTAGCACAGAAAACAACAGATTAATTAGTCCAGATATATCCAAAACACACTGGAAATGCTCAACAACACAAAGAAAATGGTCCCTTGTCCACTGCACATACTTAAAGGAAAAGTTTGCTGATTTTCAACCAGCTTTGTGTTATTCATTTCAGAAGCATATGGAAATGAACACTAGCTATGTTTCCATCCAAAGATTCGAATTAAACTTATGCGCAAAACTGGAATATTACATAAAACATTTGCGAATAAAGCACCGTTTCCATCCAACGAGTCAAAGAGAACAAAATTGTCACTTCCTGGTAAACTGGCACTAAATATCACTGAGAAAACTAGGAGAAGCGGAACGCAGTCGTGTAGGACTTATACAGAAATACTTTGATGACAGACTTTGCTCAGGCATTTCAGAACGTCCATAACAACATATAGATGCTGTGAACGAGATTGGTCCGCTGCTAGTCAAGCTATCCCGTTTCATAGCGCAAAGTCACATGACTTTTTCGATGCGCATGGAGGAATTTATTCGGTAAATGTGTTTCCATCGTAGTTTATGCGCATTTTTCTTATCGAATAAAAAGTTTATCCTACTCAAATGTGCGCATTTTTTGAATTTATGCGCATCTTGGCATTTCCATCCAGCATTTTTAATGCGATATTCCAAAATGCGCATAAAAATAGGTGGATGGAAACATAGCTACTGTTAACTCTTTTCCTGCCATTGACGAGATATCTCGTCTTTTATGAGAAAACGCAAAGACGGGATTTTACAGCTCTCCGTGTTTTCACTTTTCACTGTTCGGGGGCGCTATTACACATCTTCTGAATGAGACCAGAATCTCCCGATCAAAAACACAGCACACAGCAATGCAGAAACGAGTGATCTCATGTGTAAGCAGATGCATATGAAAAATAATGCGGTCATCAAAAATAAACAGCATATAAATCAAAACTGCCTAATGTTACAGAGTGAAATGTCGATCCAGGAAGTGGTAAAGGACTGCAAGCCATTACTTTCCATAAAAAGTAACTAATTATTTACTTTTTTAATGGAATAACGCAAATTTGTAACACATTACTTTTAAAAGTAACTTTCCCCACGCGATTTTTTTGCTGAAAATGTGGCTTTTTTAATGAAACCTACCTACATTCAAGTGTTGATAAAAAAAATAAAAAAAAAAAGCTTTTTTTTTTGTTTGTTTGAAAGTAGAGGGTCTGATCTTTATTTTGATGTATTGCATGTTCAGATATTCATACAACAAA